CTTAATAGTGTGTGCCTACATGCAATCTGGATTATTTAAACCCTATTTCCACCAACTGACTCTCATTCAACTGTGAATTTCCACCGACAGATTTTCACCAATCATTTCTCTTCTTGGGCGCTCCTCAAAGCACCCCAGAAGTGCAGCGAAATAGGCAATCGTATATGGTTGCTAGGCGAAAATAATAAAGATTTGGCCTATTAGCATCGCTGAATTAAATGGTTTTGGGGTGCTGGAAATTTCGCCCCTGCTACAGAAAAAAAGGGAAAGTTTTGGATTGCTCTCAGGTCAGTCAGTAAGAGATTGATGATGGCGACAACGACAGTTGTGGGGCAGCTTCCACCAATTTCGGTGAGATCGTTATTTAATTACCCTTTTGCAAGAAGGATGACGGTGGAAAAAATCCACGTTAAGGAGCTGGGACCCGACAAGCCCGAAATAACTGTATCTGTAAATTGTTAATTTTATCTGTGAAACTGCTGATTTTGAGAAGGAAATTAAATTATGATTGTGAAATTGTTGTAATTTTCTGACTGTTCATTTGAATGCTTATACTGGACTAGGAAGGGAAATCTATTGGTACGTCAGCCCCACCAATAATTTTTTTCACCAGCCGCCACTGATGATCTTGCATGTGGGGTTTTTTAGCAATTGGGAAAAACTGTAACACAATGAACTATGCTTGGTTTTGAAGAAAATAGAGTGTGGAAATTACAATAACCATAAATTTCACACTAAAACTAAGGCAAAACACATTTCTCTAAGTTTCATTGTCAGTGCAGTTACAGTGTTTTGTTTTTGTAAGGCACTAGGGATTTCCAAGAATGAGCAAGCATTAGTGTCTGTGGGAGAGGACATCTGGTAAGGTCTGCTGGCATGCTACCAATGAAACCATCAATGGGAAAATTATGATGCTGATGACTCATTGATCCTATCTGCTTTGTTACTGTCATCTAACCTTTTATGATTAGGCTTGATCTCAAACAACGAGTCAGCCTGTAGAGACAAGCCAGGACAACCTCACCCTCAACCCAAAGAAAACCAAGGACTTGTTCATGGACTTCAGGAGGTTGACACACAAGGAAAACCAACCCATCAACATCCATGGTGGATTCTGCCCGGACCTATTCTGGTCAACAAATACAACAGCCATGGGCAAAAAAGGACTTCAGAGAAGCCTAAAGAAAGCACAACTTCCATAGCAGCTGATGGTCATCATCACATACTGTATCACAGCATGGTACCCAGGGAGCACCTCTGAGGACAGGAGGGCCCTTCAGCATTATCATCACAGGCTCACAGCTTCATACCCATGGGGGAAATCTTCAAAACTCACTGTAGGCACAAAGCCATCTGCAGTGGTCCCCAGTCATAACTTTATCACACATCTGGGAAGCACTACAGAGCCCTGTACGCTCCCATGGCATGACTGAAGAACAGTTTCTACCCCTAAGCTGTCACGCTGCTAAACACACTGGGCCCATCTTCCCCACTCACACGGCACCAGACTGAACTGTGACTTATCCACACGACACTCATCAGGCACTACACATGCAGAAATATGCATTTTTACTGTTTCGGCTCCTAGCCATCACTCAGTCACCCATTTTGACTGTATGATAATGCTTCTATCAAACTTATCCCACTACCATAATTGTGTCCCATGTAGTCCATTAGAACGTGCAATATTGCTGTTCAGGATCATTATCCTGCACTCTCAACTGATGCAATTATTGTCACATGTGCAATAAGTCATGTGCAATATTCTTCCATTACATTTATATGTGTATTGTAATATGTATATGATATTTATTTAATTCTTTTTCCCTTAAATTTTCTTTAATATCCAAACTTCATATTGTAACTTGTACATTGACAATAAAGATATTGTGTATTCGAACAATGTCAAGGAAAAATTCCAAACAAAGCGATTTAAATTATCCCTGCCCAAAGCCCCCAGTGACAAGTGTGAAATTGAAGGGGGGGGGGGGCACTAAGAATGCTGATGGTCTGTTCCGCAATCATGAAGGACTTTTAGTTGTGCCTCTGCCACTGGTTGACACTTTGATAATGGACTGTCATGGTCTCGACGATTGCGCGAGGAGGGCAGTGCTACAGAAAACTTGTACATGAGGAATCTAACCCAAATATACAAAGCCATTTTTAAACGGGAAAAGGAGAAAACACAGATGATAAGAAACGACACCCACCAGGAGGAGCCAGTCATCTCCCCAGGAGACAGAGTTCACGTCCAAGTGAACTCCAATCGCAGAGGTTTTAGGATAAGATGGCAAGAGATGCAGGTCAACACACAGGAATGTTTTGATTGGGGGTATAATATGTGGAGAAGTTGGCAGCAAGTCGTTATGAAAAGACTTTTCTTAGGAGCTGTGATTATTCCTGCTCTGGTACTAATCCTTTGTTGTGTAGCTCCTTTAATGTGCACTCTAGTGAGCAGAGCACTGTCTTGACATGCGACAATAGCTGCTATGTCGAAGGTGGTGGGAGGACCATTCAGAGCAGTAAGTTCCTGGACCAACTTGGAACCAGACAGCAACACAGAGGTCACTGACAAGGTCCTACTCACGTCGGAAGTCAAGCCATTCCTGCCATGAGTACATCATGAAGGAACTGCTGGGGTACAGCTGCCTACTATGATGGCCTGAACAATCAGAATCAAGAGAAAGTATATGTTATGGACGTTGGTCTGCAGCATTATCAGATAACCTCTTATCTTTGTGTGTGAAATATATACACTTACATAGTGAGATTGAATTAGATGCTGTATTCTTGTTAGATTATGTAGATAAAGTGTATACAATATATCTTCGGGAGTTGATTATATGGCAATCCGTGCCCTTGCCGGGTTGGGAGTGGGATTTCCCTAAAGCTAGGGTTTATTGCCCTCCTTCCTAGGCTGGAAGTTGGCTTAGAAGCTTCTAGCCTTTGATGTACAGTATGAATACGTACTTTAATTAAAACAGCTTATCACTATTTTGAAGGCACAGAATATTACGTTCTGTGGCTAAGCATCTTGGGACCAGCAGGTCAAAAAGATTATGCTTGGAAAATCCCTGTGAGGAATATCTTGATAAGAGATAACAAAAGAGTCAATGTAATTTGCAATGGGACACACTCCTGCAGGGTATCCAGCCTTGGTTGTAACTTTGATAAGAACATAAGAAATTTACAAACAAGAGGCCATTCGACCCATCAAGTTCATTTGGGGTGAACTTAACTAATAGCTCAGAGTTGTTAAAATCTTATCTAGCTCTGATTTAGCTTGCACTACACTAACAGGAAGACTATTCCATACTCTACACACTGTATAAAGAAGTGCTTTCTCCAATACATTTTAAAATGTTCTCCTGCAAATTTCCACCTATTGCCACAAGTTCTAGTATTTAAACTAATATTGAAGTAACTATTTGGCTGAACAGCATACAGACCAGTTAGAATCTTATATAACTGGATCATGTCCCTCCTTAGTCTCCTTTGCTCGAAGCTGAACAGATTCAGCTCAGCTAACTTCTCCTCAGAAATCCCTCTAAGATGAGGAATCATTTTTGTAGCCCTACGTTGAACACTTTCCAAGGCAGCAATGTCGTTTTCAAGGTATGGTGACCAAACCTGCACACAATATTCTAGGTGAGCTTTTTGTATTTGTTTCCCAAACTTACTCATTCCCTCAGGGTCATACACAGAGGATATTTACTGCTTGGCACTCTCTTTCTTATAGTTATAACTGTAAGTGGCTGTGTACTTTCAGAGCTTCAGTGGTAATTAAAATTGGCACCCGCACAGCCAAAATTCAGGTGTTCGGCATATTTGCACACACTATTCTCTCAGCAAGGGAAATGAGGCTCTGGATATCTTCACAAATAGGCAAGCTTCAATCATCAGTCTCAGGGTCAGCACATGACACACATATACACATTCTTCTTGCTTAAGGCCTAAGTTACCCCCTCGACCTTTAATAGGATAAGCAGTTACAGAAAATGGACAGAATGCATATCATGTTCTACAGAGGGACTATAGAGAGTACTCTGTGTAGCTGCATCACAGCTTGGAATTGGAATTGTTGTGCTTCAGATCACAAGACCCAACAGAGGATAGTGAAGACAGCAGAGATCATCATTGTGGTCTCACTCTCCTCTGTTGCAGACATTTACACGTCATACTGCATCTGCAAAGCCACCAGCAATGTGGACGACCCCACACACCCCTGCCAAACCATCTTAGAATCCTAGAATACGGGCCTTCACTGCCATGATGGGAAATAGTTTCTTGCCTCAGGCCATCAGACTTCTGAATCAGAACTGAATCATAATCTGTATTTCACATTCCATTTATTATATACTGCAGACTCTCTGTCCTGCTGCTACTATTGTTTGGACTGTTATTTATTTACTATTTATTGTTGTCTTACTGCTAGAATACAGTATATGTCATAGTACTGTATCTGTAATAATACTATTTATTCAAATAGCCATTTAAATCAGCACAGTACCTGCTTTGTCACCTGCACAATATGTTGTCCTGTCCTGTAAACTCCACTTGTGTAGTCTTGCATTGTTTCTGTCCTTTTGTTTTTTGTGCATCTTGGTCCTTAAGGAAGGATATTTCGTTTTACTGTATACTGAGTATATGGCTGAAATTATTAATAAACCAACTTGACTTGACTTGAACTGTCAAAAGGCAGGTAGTGACAGAGTTTATGGTTGCTGCATCATTAGGTTCAGCAAAGATGTACAGCTGGGTGTCATCGCATAACTATGAAAGCAGACATTCTATTCTTTGATGATATCACCAAATGGCAGCATGTATAATAAAAATAATAATGGACCAAGGCAGCTTCCCTGGGCAATCTTATAACTGATTTCATGTTTTTCAGACACATGATCTCTAAGACTAACAATAAAACTTATGTTGAGCAAGTTAGAGGAATGGTTTAGTTGACCCTCCTGAGCGAGGCACCGCCGTCCAGAAACGCGTACCCCATGCTGGAGGTACACGAAAATCTCCGGTGGCTGACGGAGCGGATAATGGAGAGGAGAGCCCAGCTGGTCACGCTGCGCACTGCTGAGGCTGTAAACCCGCCGTCTGTCCTCCCGGAGACGGCGCAACCTCCACCAAGAACCGCGGGCTGGGGGAAGAAGAGGAGAAAGCCAAAGGAGAAGCCAGAGGAAGCCCCGACCATCTTCCTGGGAGCCGACTCTCTCTCCCTAGCTTCGCTCCTTGCTGGTGATCGGGGGGAATCCCCAGGTGCCGTGGACATCCCCGCTGCATCACCCCCGCAAGTATTAAAAGCCTGTCTAGCTGCCGCAGAGCAGCCACCGCTAGCGGCTTATCACTTCCGGGTGGCACGCCTGGCTAATAAGGGGGCCAGGGCCATGTGGGATGCTATCCCATGGGTCGCGGGGACTCTTAAAGGGACAACGCCTGCTTTTCTAGCCCCGACCGTGGCGGCAATTACTGCTCTGCCCGAGCCTCTGCCTGCTGCTGCACCCGAGGCTCTTGCTGTGGCTCCACCTCCGCCTGCTGCACCCTTTGCAGCTCCGCCCATGCCCGAGGCTCCTGCTGCTCTGCCCGCGCCTGTGACTCCTGCCCCTGTGGCTCATGCCCCGGTGCCCGTGACCCTGGTCCATGTCCCCAAGGAGGTCCCGGACCTCTCGACCACCGCTCCTTCCTTCCATCTGCCCTGTGTTTCCCCTAATAAAACCCTGTATCCTGCATCCTCGCCTGCCTGCCTCGTCCTTCCCCGCTTCCTGCCTGTTTGCCGACCAGCAATCACAACACTATGCGTACTCTAGCTTTTTGATTTATGATTTATGTCGGCATGGTGGCGCAGTGGTTAGCACTGTTGCCTCACACCTCTGGGACCTGGGTTTGAGTCTCTGCCTGGGTTACATGTGTGTGGAGTTTGCATGTTCTCCCTGTGTTGTCATAGGGTTTCCTCTGGGTACTCCGTAGCTGATTGCTAATTTGTCTATAGGTGTGCATGTGTGTGTGAATGGTGTGTGAGTGTGTCCCTCTGGCTGCCGCCCATTGGCCACCGTGGCTCCCTCTGGCTCTCCTTTGTCCCCCGCCCTTTCCCATTTGGCCTCCTGTGTTTGCTCCTCGTCCCTGTGTCCCTCTGCCCTGCGATGGGCTGGCCCCCCGTCCAGGGTTGTTCCCTGCCTCGTGCCCATTGCTTCCGGGATAGGCTCCGGACCCCCCGCAACCCAGTAGG